TCCAGAGACAGGATAACCAGCTGTCTGCTGGGCTGCTGCAGGCACAGGAGGAACACTGACTCGGAAGGGAGAAGATCCGGCTGCAGAGGAAGCTGGGGGGGGGGGGAGAGACGGTACAGAGGTGTCCAGAAGCATCTGTCCTCGGCATGGTGAGAAGCATTTCCATGGCAGGGGCTCAGTTTGGAACAGGGAGGACACTTCTCTGAATATGCCTCTGGACTCTTTCTGAGACAAATGTATTCACATACCGCAAGTTAGGAGGGAGAGGCAGTGTGTGGCGGGGGAGTAAAATAATATTTTTATTTTTTCTAATTTATTCTTTTTCTTAAAGTATGAGGAATGATGAATTTCCATGTATGTTTAAACTAACTTTCCTTGTCACTATTCAGGACTGCTCTAGGAAACTCTGGCAGGGAGACCCTGGAGCTTCTGCATTGGGAGGGTGGCGAGAGTGGGAGACCAAGGCAAGAAAGGGCGGGTGGCCCGGGATGGCCAAGTGGAGACCACATGCCGGAAAGGCACAGCTCGGCAGACAGATGCCCAGGGGTCATGGTAGACAGCGCCAGGCCCCTTCCAAGCCCGCAATGAAAGTCATGGGTTGGTCTTCTGTACTTCTGCACAAATGACTGTCGTCTTCAAGCAGAAACTGAGTTTGCCAAGCAGATGCCCTGTGGGGGACTTTGGGAGAGGCGTGGAGAATCTGTGGTGACCAGGGATGGTGTGCTGGGGCCTCATCAGCAGGGTTTCATAGGAAACACCACAGGTCTTTACTGCAAACACCAAGGTGGAGGAGAAGCCTTCAAGGACCAGGGCAGAGTCTGCACTGAGAGAATACACAGCCCCTTGGATGTGTCAGGAATCAGAGCTGTTTAGGCAAGCAGCATTCCTTAAATGCTTTCTAGGTGCCCAGTATTAGGCTAAAGGTGAAGAATCCAAGATATGTGAGACACTGGACTGACCTCAAGGCACTAATGGGGTAGGATGAGGAAATAAACAGCAATCAGGACTCCTCAGGGAATCCTGGATCCTTCCGCTTGGTAAGAAACATGCTCTAGGCAGCCCAGCTGAGAACAGTGTTATCACTGTTGTGAGTTTTGATGGGGGAAAGGCAGAGGCAGATGCACCTCAATCCTCCACCTTTCCTAATCCCAAAATTGTAGAGAAACCTGTGGATGAGAGCTTTGACCAAGTCTATCACCTGGGCTTTCTAGGAACTTAACAATGCAGGAACTGTGCCATCCAACAGAATTTACACAAGAGCTGGAGAATACTTTTCTAAGAAGGGTGTGGGCTTGCACTTAATCTTTTAGGAGACGTGCGAAGAGCTCACATATTCATTTACTCAGGAAAGACTCAGAAGTAGACACAATTGAAGATGCACACCAAAAGCCCAGTGTTCACTGGCTCTGCTAAAGTGCATTCCTGTACATATAGCTAAAAACAAGAGGCAAGACACAAAGTCCTCAGTGGCCTCTGAAAGATACCTTGGCTCCCCCATTGCCACCTTTGTATCAGAAGCTTTGTGCTGGCACTTATTGGGATGCAGAATGGTTTCAGTAAAACCCTCATGCAGACAGAAATGGTTCTTCCTTTGGGGGACAGTAAGATGGGGCTCTGCTTCCTGAACAGGCTCAGGCCCACACAGGTACAAACCTCTGCACCCCTCAGAGCAGGTGGGCAGAGCCAGGACAAGCATCTTTAGGATGCTGCAAACCTTCCCCTTGAGCTCTAGGAGCCATAACTTTAATGAGGAGAGCAGAAAAGACACAAAGTTAGAAATAACATTTGGGAAATTACTTCTTGCATTCAATGGCTGTGCCTCCTTTGCCTCCCTTGCACGCTGCCCGTGGGCAGCTGACATTTTCTCCACCTGATCAAGAGGTCTGGGCGAGGCCTCTTGACTTTTCCCACCAGACATTCCTGCTAGGCATTCCAGTAGCAAACTGCATGAGCCACTGCTGAAATCATGGTTAACATTTCTCTACTCCTTTTCCACCCACAGTGGGGCGAGGCTGCAAATACCCTTTAATTATGAGTCTATTGCATGCAGCACCAAGGGTTATGATGGAGGAAACTAGGGTTTTTCAGAAATGTACAGAACAAATGAACCAGTCTAGAGAGAGAAAAGCACAATGAAGTCATTATGTCACCCAAACCGCCCTGGCCAGCGAGCTGGTCATTCATTCTGGGACTGTGTGTATGTATATGAGCTTGATCAAAACATTCTCTAACTTCACAGAGTGGAACAAAAAATGACAATAGCTTGCTGCTTTAGAGGTTATGCAAAGGTGAATATCTTTCTCCCCAAGGAGCCCCTAGCCTGTCCTAACTTATTTAGCATAAGCACTGTCTTGGAACTATTTAGTGGGGTAAGATGAGGGTTTGACCGCTAAGGGTCCCCAGCTTCAGTTTAGAATTGGCTGAATCCCAGTGACACCTCTGATCTCCAAATAATCATTCATTGGGAACACAGAGCCCTATGAATTCAGAGATGATTAGTTACTGCATGGCATGTACCATCAGTTTGAATCTCAGAGAGCTAATCCAGACCCAGGATGTGGACAAAGCTGTTCATCTAAATTACTCTAATCCTCAGATAGATTCTGATCATCTTGTCCCTCTCGCCTTGATCCATCTTGTTTCCATAGCAGCTAAAACCTCAGTAAAATGGCAACATCTGGCCCAGGCTCAGGTGAAAGTCCTCTGGGGAATGCATCTGCTTGATGCCCACAGCAGACGGAAAGCAGGGCTCCACGACGCAGCAGCTTGAGCATCAGGAAGACATGAGAAGAGGCTCAGCTCTCGAGGGGAGACCACAGGTAGCTGTGAAGAAGACAGGAGGGTAAAGGGAGGGACGCGATGTGGAAAAGCATGAAATTAAAGCAGAGACATTCAGAAGGCTGTGGGAGAAAAGTAAAGTGCAGAACCAGAAAGTATGGTGGGGGAGTATATATATATATATATATATATATATATATATATATATATATACATACATATGAAATGCTTCAAGGTGAAGGACAAAGGACTGACCACTCAGAAAAGACATCAAAGAGGAGACAGTTAGTTTCTTGGCATGAGGAAAAAGAATTCTGACCCGAATGATAAATGTTCTGTGGATCTGAAAGACACAGCTTCCCTGGCACCAATAGCACTGGGGATTCTGCATGGAGCCGTGATGAATGGCGCACACCGTGGACTTAGAGAGCTTGCCCTTGAAAGGCCAGTCCATTGGAAGTGCCAAGGGCTACACTTGGGACCTGTCCACGTTAAGGTCATTTCAAATGGAGAGACTGGCAGAGACATGAGCAGCTCTTCCTGATCTCTTTGTTCACAGAGGTGGTGTCAGTAACAGTGGCCTAGGACAGCTACCAGAAACTCAGGTCAAATACAAATGACCCTCTGACACCTTCTCTGAGAATACCCATCACCACACACTGTGACTACCAGAGAGGAAACTCAGTGTCTGAGGATTGTTGAAGTCCTGCTCTGTTTTGCTTTGATGTCCCAGTGCAGTGAGTATTTGATGCATTGCCACTTCCAGGAATGGAGGGCTCATGCTCCAAGGAAGGACAGGCTTCATTGGACAGTCGTTTGTGTGGCTGGTCTGATGTGAAGACAGACCTGGCCCAGGGTCATAACCCTTTGGCAGGCAGCCTTACTTCAGTGGAGGACTGCTGTGTTGATAGAAAGGACCAGCCCAGGTACCTCCAGAGATGACACTTCCAGAGGGCCAACCCAGCTTCAAAACTCCCTGCATGGTCAGCAGGAGTGTTCCATTGAATCGCTTCACAGCTCTGTTCTTCTGCTCAACTTTCCCTTTCCTCTCTTCCTTTCTAAAAATATTTATCTCCAAAGTACTCCCAGGTAAACTCTATACCAATCACATTCTCCAAATGTTGAGGTATAATAAGCAAATTACCTCCACTATGGTACTGTGCACTGCCCAGCTGGACACACGCCTTCACTATCCATACACACACACACACACACGCACACACACACACTTGCGCGCGCACACACAAATATTTGTATCAGCCAGTCCAGTAACAGGCAGCAAACTTCAGGAGCTCTGTTAATGTGTTTGCTTATACACCAGCTTTGGATGTCTTCCTTGACAAATCCCCATGTCATTCGGTCAATGAGTTGAGCTCTGTCTTCTCAACTCCTGATATAGTCTACATCCATTCATTGTTTGTCATCTGTCTCCTGAGAATCTGAATTCATGAGAACATAATTTGTTAGTTTGAGTTCACTGCTAAATCCCCCAATGCCTAGAACAGAGCTGGAACTATTGCAACACTCACTCAGTACTAAAGAATGAATGACACAACTGTATGTTATTTGCTTCCAAATAAAAGCTAGCTTAATGGCAAATAGCATCTTGTCTTAATTTCTAACAGTTTAAGTATTTAGTCCTTGAAAGCATAAAATAGTCAGTCTGGCCTGCCTAACATCTGAACATTTAAACCAAATGAATTTTGCAATTTAGCCATGCATTAATTTATATTTATTATCTAGAATTACTCAGAGAAAAACAACAACAAAAAAAGCACAAAAACAACTAATGACCAGAGCTTTGGCAGTGCTGAAGGGGAGAGACTAGGAAATGCTCCTTTTCGAAATACGGTCATTTAAAGTGGTCATCATCATCTCCTGTTTTGTTTTCTGTCTCTCAAAACAGCCAACTGAGCAATGCCAATGAAGTGGATCTTTGTGTTCTTACACTTGCCATGTCAGGTTCACCCAGAACAACTCAACCACCACTTTATCCAGAAACAGCTATGGCTGATTGACGAGGGATTGGAGGGACAATCAGGTGTGATTTCTGAAACCTCAGAGGACATGGATGCCTTGTAGAGAACATCAAACCTCTGCAGGGTAGTGAGTGTGTTACTGCCACCAAAGGAAGCTCTTGAATTCATAGCAGCATCATGAGCTCCTGCTATGGTCATCTGCAATGTCCTCTGAGGACATCTCGCACAAGCAGCTGCTCTTACCTTTGGGAGAGATGTGTCTCCAGGTGACTGTAGGTTCTGGTCTACCTGTTGCTATGCAGGTGAGGCTAATATTGTTCCCTTCATTGATGGAGATATCTGAAGAAATTTCTACAATTTTGGGAGAAACTGTGAAGACAAAACAGATAAAATGGAAAATGAGAATTCTGCTGATACAGTTCTCTGTTGCCTTAAAATGGTAGTCAACAGAATAGCCCAAAGAGTGAAATAAGGACTACATTTGCAAAGGATGAGAAATTGGAGAAATTACCTTAGACATGAAAAGGATCTTATGTTGTACATAGCTTGTTTCCTCCTATGTGAACACAAAGTCAGAGACCAGAGGGGAATATTTTCCACTGCGATGCTACAATAACCATTCCTCTAGTCTACACCTTTTTGCATTCCACTCTCACCCCTCACCTCCAGCACACAACCACCAGTCATTCTTCCCTCTGCATTCAGAGATGGCTTTCTGCAAGGCAACTCCAGCCCTACCACATCATCCCTGGTTAGAGGGAATCACTCTCTATTTCCTACCTGATCATAACCAGGGTCCCTACCCGGTGTATGAGGCTCTTCAGATTCAAGCATACCCCACCCCCGCCACCTCCAGGGATTCTACTCTGCTCATCCACCTGCTGCCCTCCCATGTGCTTCAAGGCCACCATGCAGTGCATCTCCATTGGTTTTTATCTTTCCTGGAAAGGTCTCTGTCATCCTTTACAGCCTGACTAAAAGGCCATTTTCTCCATTTAGTCCTTACCACTCCTATGACTCCCAGCTCTCCTTAAAAACATAGACTTAGTGTTTCTTTTTCAAGTGAAAATAACGTCAGCTGCACCACACCTTGCCTTTCTTGGTTTCTGTCTACCTGTGCATATGTCTGTCTTCCCCAAGTCACCCTCACCAAGGAGGCGGCATTCTCACCCTAACAGGGACAGGACTCTCGCCTCCTGCAGTCTTTTGCTTTAGTGCCTGCATGCTGCCCTGGTCCCCCCGCTTGTTTCACAGAGGCGGACCCCACAGGGACAGGGTCTGTCTGTGGGACACACTTCCTGTGGACACCCGTCTCACTCCTGGGGCCAGTTTTAGAAGTCTATTGTTATCTTTCAGAGCCTAATTCTGTAGCATCAGCTTTACCACTGGCTATATGTGATGCTTGGTTTTCCGTGTGGCTGCTCATTCGTCTAAACCATCAAATAGTTTATGATTCAAGTGGATAAAGTGAGTGTGCCATTGACTGAGCTCCCAAACTCCACTTGCAGAGAGTACTATACAGCTATTTGCTTAACATCGCTTAGCCACTAAGCCATGAGCTTTCTCACACCCTGAACCATGACTTTCTTATATTTGTCTCCATTGTAAAAGTTCAACACATATTTATATGGCTAAATTATAAGAGTGCTTTATGGGATCCACCCACCCAACCTCCTTCAGGTTCGCAAGCCCTCAAAGTGGGGTCATTAGGACACGGTATTTCAGTCTTACTCACACTGGGTTGGGCAGATTCATTCCTGGAAAGTTAATAGACCTCTCTGTCCAGTGCTGTACTGTTTCTTTATGTGGCCTTCTTTCCTTGCCTGGGTGTTCTGTGGAGCCAGCACTGCAACTCCAAGGCTCATTGCCCTCCCAGCACACAGTGCCATCTGCTCTGCTAGCGAATGCAGGGAAGCTGCAAAATGACTTGTTTTCATTGCAAAACCAGAGAGGAGGTCCCTAAAGTCAGAGTGATGAGGTCCCTAACTCACAGGAATGAAGTCACTAAAGTCAGAGTTCTGGCTTTCCTCTAACTGCTCACACTCATCTTCGAGGAAAGGGGTGTGATGGAAAAATCTTCGCTCAGTGCTCTTTGTGCCGCTCTCCAATGTTTCTTTCCATGAATGTCCTGCACTCCACTGAATGGCGAAACCCACAGCGCAGAGCACGTGCTGCTCCTTTGTGTCTTCACCCCAGTCTGGCACTGCAGACATCAGTGTTCAGGTGCTTTTCTTGGACAGTGCTGTGAGAGTCACCCAAGATGAATTACCATCCTTCCCATGCAGCCTTCTGGAGTGTCCCCACAAGGAGCAAGCCCTGTTTCTGGTGAGCAAACACCATTACAGTGTCTCCCTTAGGGCAATTCCAACTAGGACTCTCTTAGGTTACATTGGTCTCAGTTTTCCTTCTGTGCCATAAATTATTGGGATGTAAGATATTAATTATGAACTTTACTTATCATTTAATTTTCTGCTGCCTGGAAGAGTGTGTTTTGCATAGAATAAGCACCAATCAATCATTCTTACTTTAAATCTACATTGGGCTTCAGATAAATAGGCAGTGTGCATTTGTGTGTGGGGGGGCACACATGTATCTGCATTGTTGAAGGTGGCTGTGAGGGTTGGAGAGAGTCTTGACTCTACAACTGGGTCTTTTAATAGAAGACATTGCAATTAATGGCTGTGTCCCTTAAAAAGCTAGATTGGCCCTTCCAGGACAGAGAACTACTTGAAGAGTTAAGGACTGAGTGGTTAATTTGCCGACTTCCTGATCGGTACAATTTTCTAAACTGTCTTTGCTCTAAAATTATTTAAACTGCTCTTGCAGAAGTAAAATTTGATGCATTTTATTTACAAAGCTTTAACGGAAGCATCCCCTGCTTATGCATCAGACATTTGCCTGTTCCCTGTGCCTGTCTCTTCCTGGTGCCCACACGGCCCTGTTGGCCTCCCAGAGGACAGGCTGCCTGCAGAATGTCTTGCTGGCCTTGCAGATGTTGCTTGAACTGTGCAGGTGAGTAATTTATTGATCTGTAAAGCACTCTGAGATGCTTTGCAAGGGATTATGTCATGCCAACGCCATGCAATAAAATAAAAAATGATGGACTTTGTGAACACAGGGTGATTTAGGGTTTGTAGTTGGAACAGTGCTTAAAGTACATTTTAAGTGGAAATCAGGCTGGGTAATGAATTACTCTTGCTTTGGGAGGGCTTACTAGGAGTTCATTTTCCTGGCTTCTTACATGATAGCTAATCTGCTAATCATACACTAGAGAACAATGGACAGTCCCCAAGCAGGACTGGAGGTGGCTGGGGCCAGAGCTGTCAGCTCAGCAAGTATATTAAATGGGGCAATCATCCCTCATTCTTGGGAGAATCGTCTAGAATTGTCTTCCCCTCAGCCCCAGCAATTGGAAAGTATCCAACTCATGAAGTAGAAGTTGGAGAAGTATGTGCCATCCTTTCAAACCTGCCTAAGGTGACAGCTTGAAGGAGGAAAACTGCCCCAATGAATGTGAAAGGAGGCCATTCAGGGGACAGAGGTGAGGAGCTCGGTGGGAGGCGCAACCACAGTTAGCAAAACTAAACTGGCATAGTACCTAAGGTGTGAGGGGATTGGAAGTATCATTTTCTAGGTGGCGACATTTAGCACACGGTCAGTATTCAAAATGAAATTGGACACTGTGGTTACCACCCTGAGGTAAAGCAATACCTCAGCATGTGCAAGGACCCAGGTCCAACCCCCAGACACAACAAAAATTAATTCAAAAGGATAAGGTCGAGGTATGGTTTTAGCTCATCCATGTCCATAAGGAAGCTTTGACCTAATTGTGAGGTAGGAGTACTTACATTTTTATATTGCTCTGTGAAATCATTCCATATCTTGAATCTCATCATGCAGGCTACATTGATTCATTCATTCTGTCAATATCCATGGGTCACTTGCCATGTACGAGCACAGTGCTAAGCACCAGGAGCATAAACTAGGTAAGACACAGTCCTATCCTCAAGATGTTCACAGTCTAGAGGTGTGGATTAGGTAAAGAAATACAATCTTCAATGTATTTTGACAGAGAAAGATGAATCAGGTGCTATAGAAATACAGAGGATAGACCCACAAACCCCTAAACCTGCCTGCAACTGATGCCATGCAGGCTTCGTGCATACAAGAGGAATATATTAAGGCTTAGGAGACAAACAAAATTAATCAAGTCTGGGGCTAACAGGACAGACATTCTAGGCAAAAGAGACCACATAAGGAAATCATCAGTAGGAAGACATAATTTTTAATGGCAGAAGTCACCTTTTGGGAGTGGGCTTAAAGTCTTTCAATAAACACTATGTGAATACATTCTACATGAATAACTGTGTGCTAGGTAGGAGTGCCATGCAGGCGTCTACCAGGTTGCTTGGACTTCTATGAACTTATAGTCTGGGGAAACAGTGTATGCAAACATCCCAGAGAACTGACTAATGAAGCAAAATATGTCAGAAACTTGTGTGCAAATGAATGTACAATGGATGATGCACACATTAAACTTTAGGAGCTGTGGAGGACTGCAGTGTGTGGGAGTGCCAGGGGTGCCTTTACCTTGTTCAAGCCTCTCTTTTTTAATATCAACACACAAAAAAGAATCATCTAGTCAGTAAAAGAGTGATGCTGCTTCAGATGGGATGGGATTACACTGGCACAGATGGGAAAGCAGAAATCCGTGAAGTACATGAAGATATAAATGCTAAAAAGGCAATTGAAAGTAGGGTGGAGAGCCTGGCCTTGCTACATCCCAACTGGATATCCCTGGCCAAGTTAACTCACCTCTCTGGGCCTACTTCTACCAAATAGAGTTGGTACCAAATGGAGCTGATAGTTCCGTAGGATGGTGGGGTTTAGGACATTCTTCTGAGGATTTAAGAAGCAAGTTTCTGAAATGTCCTGAGAGCAGTTCCCAGCAATGTGTAGTGCTCAATAAATGGGTTTTAATGTCCTGTGTGGTTGACAAATGTGCATTTGCTGTGTCAATGCAGAATAGACAGTCAATAAATTTTATACGAATCAATGAAAAATGGAATATAAGATCAATGAAGTAAAGTAGAGCCAGATTGTTGAACAGCCTGGGGGTGAGGTCTTGGATTGTACTCTGTCCTGTAGGTATGGCAAGTATTTGAATTTTTAAACAGAGAATGGTATAGTTTTTAAAAATTTATATTAAGAAGAATCTCTTAACCATGTGTAAAAGTAGAAGAGAGAAACTGGAGTCAGAGAAAGCAATCTACAAGTGTGATTTTCAAAGCCTGGATTAAATCATTGGCTCTGTAATGATGGACAGGCAGGGATGCTTTTGCAGACGAAGCCAAAGGGAATGCATGGGT